TCTTCTGCTGCTGCATCTTTGTCAGCACCAGCATCAAGAAACAACCCAACAACTTCCAAGTGGCCTTCCTGAGCTGCAACATACAAAACCTTTGACCCAAGTTCGGTTGTGGCATCCTTGTCAGCTCCTGCATCGAGCAGCAACCTCACAACTTCCAAGTGGCCTTCCCGTGCTGCAAAATGTAAAGCCGTTGACCCCAAATCGGTTCTGGCATCTTTGCCAGCTCTAGCATTAAGCAACAACCGCACGACCTGCAGGTGACCATTCCCAGCTGCAACAAACAAAGCTGTTGACATATTTGCTAGTGATGCATCTTTCTCAGCTCCAGCATCGAGCAACAACTGCACAATTTCCAAGTGACCTTCCTTAGATGCACTAAACACCGCCCATGCCACATCTTCAGTAGTTGCACCCTTGTCACCTCCAGATTCAAGCAGCAAGCGCACAACTTCCAAGTGTCCGTTCTGGGCTGCCAAAATCAGAGCCGATGCTCCATCTAAGCGCGCTGCATCTTGCTTAGCTCTGGCCTTAAGCAACAGACGCACAATCTCTAAGTGACCATTTTGAGCTGCGTTATGCAAAGCCCATGCCCCATCTTCAGTTGCTGCACCCTTGCAAGTTCCAGCTTCGAGCAAGAACTGCACTACTTCCAAGTGGCCATTCCAAGCAGCAAGAGACATAGGTGTTGCCTCATCTCGAGTTGCAGCATCTTTGTTGGCTCCAGCTTCCAGCAACAACTGCACCACTTCCAAGTGACCTCCAAGAGCGGCGACGTGAATTGGTGCGTAGTTTGCATTTGCATCTTTGCCACCGAGATTTGGATCTTGTGGTCTTCTAAGTAGCTTCTCAACTTCGCATATGTGATTCTGTCTACAGTTCTGAAGTAGTTCCTCCTCCATCGTCACATCAGAAACACCAAAGTCCAGGATCAGCAACTGCACACTTGGCAGGGGCATTAAAGACATGTCATCGGTCAGCTCGCCAAGTTCCTGGCTGAAGAGTCTTTGCCGAAACCTTGAAAATCCAACCCGATCTGCAAGGGCACGTTTGAGGTCTCTAACCGAATCTCCCCGCTCCAGCATGCAATTCAACTCATTCTCATCAAGCTGGGTGACCATTGTGCCCGACAAAGCAAACACATTCATGCTTTCGGCGAAGCAAATTGTGGGCTCAGTACCTCCTGTGTGGAGGCAGCTTATATTATGGTGGGCCTGGCAATTGGGTTCTTTTGCAGGTGCGTCTGGAGAGTGTTCTATAGTTATATAGCTAGTTTTTACCTACGTCCATCCTGCGTGCAAATCCTTTTGATCAGAAATTCCCCATTGGTGGGCAGTTGGTGGTGTTCCACTGCGATCAACTTGGCATATCATGCTGTAAAAGCACTAAGAATGAATGAGAATCCTGACTGCTCCCTCCTCCATCTACCGGCTTATCCTGTTCTCTCTCGAACCTCACAGGACTGCGATCCGACGACCTTCACGACGGACCGGCACTGGACCGGTCCTTCTGGAAAGGCAGTTGTGCAGGGTTCGACGCATCGGCTGACCACATCAGAACACCAAACTAGGGGGGAAGACCCGAGGACCAGCGGCTGACCAACTCAGAAACACCACATTCTGACCATTTGTGACCACATCCCCCCCATCCACCACATGGCGTGGAATGACCCAGTATACCCGGCAGCCCGGGCTCCCGGCTGGTGCTGGTGCAATTAAAGGCGGGGATGGCATAGCCTAGGCGCGCTCAAAGGGAGTGCCCCAGAGAGTCACACTCCTCCTTTCGGCTGGGAGTTTTGAAGCCTGGAGGCAGGGGATGGGGAGCGTTCGAGGAATTTCCTCCATCCCATTCTTCAGGGTGAACCGTTTTTTCATGCTGAAACCCCGTACTACTCTCGCTCCCTGTCCAGCGCTCCTCTTTCGTGGTCTCTGGGTCTCTGGGTCTCAATCCATGAGCTTTGGCGTGTTGCAGCAGTCCCCAGGCAGCATCGCCAGTGACCACACCAGCCTGGAGAAGGGAGCTGAACGGACAGAGCAGGTTTTGGGAGGGGAGCAGGTGTGGTAAGAGGAGAAAGCTATGCATCGGATGGGATTCTGAAGGTGCTTGGGAGAATACTCAAGACGAAAAGACTTGCGTTGGGTGATCGCCCATCCTAAAAAGTTCGGTTTTCTTGCTAGCTTAGCTAGGGCGGCAGCCAGCGTCGTGTGCTTTCAATGTGGGAGATGCCAAGCAGAAGGACTCACCCTTTCTTTCGGTCGTGAAAGATCTTTCGCCTCTACAACCGTCTCACCTTCTTGGAGGGGGGGGCCACCTTGTGTTGGCCGCCTCCTCCTCCACATGAAGAACTCCCGTCAGAGGGTGCGATGTTAGTCTTCCCAATCCTAGATCCTGGATCAGATGCTACAAGACCAGATCACCGCTTTGATGTCAAGAAATCATTTCGAGCTATCCCCACCCGCTGGTTTGGGGCAAAAGACCTGATGGCACTGCTTGAAATCATCGAAGTCGATGGGATGGCCGGTTTGTTTCGGACCATCTTCCAAATACCAAACGCTTGGCGAACTCCACTTCCCAAGGCTCAGAAAGGACCCTCAACTAACTACGTACCTGGGCCATGATTTCAAGGAGCGCATCCTGTGAGACTCTAAGTCCGATCGGCGCCAACGAGGTCCAAACACGCCCTTGGTCCGAAGGCAACCAAAACGGCTTCGTCTGAACGTGGCATCCGACAAACAGCTGAGTGCCCCAAGCGAAATGACTCCCCCGAAGTAGCATGGGAGTCTTTGTGCTCTTGAACTTCCAGGGTTCTACTACACAACATATTGTAGCATTAACATACTGTACGGACCAAATCCTGACAAATGATTGGACGGATGGTGGATTTTTCTGCACTGCTGCACCCTGTGACAGCATGTGACAGCTGTGATGAAACAACCGATGGTGCCGGCCTTCACGCCAGGCACGTCCCAGAAGGAGGCACATTTTTTGGCGTCCTCCAGTGGCCAGGGATAAACCACATGGAAGCGGAATTCACGAAGCTTGCAACGGAGAGCGATTGTGATGCCGAAGTGAGAGGATGGTCCTAGACTGGCTTGGTGGAAGAGGTTGACGCACTTGCCCCAAAAGCAGCTTGAAGAGGCCAAACAGAGTTGACAAGCTGTCAACGAGGACAAAACACCTTCTGGGGAGACCAATTTGCATTTGGCCATGCATTGCCTGTCGTCAATCACGAAGACGGGTTGGCCGGTTGGCCTCAATTTCCCATCACTTGGCTTGACCCAAGTTGACCGCCAACCGCCACCAACCTATAGCTCCAAGGGGGGCCGGGGTCACACCATCTTACTAGTATATGTAATTACATGTAAATATATACATATTATGAATATAGCTCCAGAACAGGGGTAACTCAGCTTGGGTACACCATGCCCGCGATCAGGGTGGTACTTGGACACCCTTTCAATCCCCATCCACCTCTTTTCGGGGGGGCCCTGGTGGTATGTCAATGACGCCCAGCGTACTCCACCTGGATCCACTCCTTCCTCGCACCCCGAGTGGCCGAGTGGCCTCAATGGTGAAGGGCATGACCTGCTGAACCTGCAGTGAGGCTGTAGGTGAACCTCACGAGATCCAAGGATTGAACCTCTAAGGATCCCCTACCTGGACCTCGAAAAAGGGCTGTGGCTGGAGATCCCTCCAAGGATCCTGCGTGGGGGCTTCCACCAGCCAGGTGACCCCTTGGAAAGTGCTGAAACAGGTGGTTTTCATTCAAATGCTGGAGGTCTCTTGATGAACAATGTGGAATCCCGGACAGCTTGACTGGTGACTTCAGATTGCGACAAGGTGGAGTCTACCTTTCTTTTGATGGCGGAAGGTTAGGCCTTTGGAACAGACAATGACCCATCCACGAGGGGGAAAGTGCGAGAATGTCCTCCAGCTCAGGGTGATCAGGCTGGAAAGCCACCCGGTTCTATTTGTGAAGGGTTCAAAAAGCACTCCACCAGCGCCAGCGTCTGCTTCCAATTAGTTCAGCCAATCAACTATAACCACCACAGCCACATGCCAAACAAGCTTGAACTCCCTGATCAAAACTGATCAAACCAGGCATTCCATCCTACTGGACCGTTCTATCAACCTCTTACGAACGATGATCATGAACGACTTCAGAAGGTGCATGGAGACGTGTTCCCTCCCGCCTCAAACACGTGGATAGGCCGCTGGCTGATCGGTCGTTGGGAGGGGGCGACGCTGTTCGCTTGAGCCCCGATCGGTGCGGGCCAGTCGCCAAACCCAGGGATTTGGTCACAGGAATCCCCTGTATGTCCTCAGGGGTGAGGTTTGTCGGATGTTTTATAAACCTCATCTTCCACTTTTCGTGCCTAAAAATCGAAACGCAACAATCATTAAACATCGATTGGTGGATACCACGACGTCTTCTCATCGACCCTTTTGATGGATTCTGCAGGGGAAGACCCCATCCCTCGGGACGATTGGTTCACCTCTCCCGGAGAGGAAAAGGCAGAGGCTGCCGCGACCTCGTGCGACCTCGTGCCAACCGCAAACGAGTTCGTGCCAGGACGGGAGAAGCGAACGCACGGCCAGCAAGACACACCAAATGGATAATGGATGGCAGTTGAGAGCACCCCAAAAATGCCATGGACTCCCTCGGGCTCAGGCGTCGCACCGAACTCGGTTCGGTTCGATGGGACTGGAGTGGGTGCCAGTGTTCCAGTCCTGCCGGGCCGAGTTCGGTACGACGCCTGAGCCCTAGACACTGGGTCTTGTGCTTGTCCTCAACTCATCTTCTATTCAAAAGACGAATCGCCATGTCTCTTTAGCTCGTCCCTCTTAGCTCCGGCACTTGTCCGTCAGCGGCGTGACGACCAGCCGCGGGGTGTTGCCCAAATATTCGAAGGAGTACCTTGAGAATCACATCCACAGAAGTCCACAAGGGTTGCTGGGTTGCTTGCTGGCACAGGTCCGTAGTGGGGGTATCGGGGTGGCTTTGCAGTTGCTTGAAACATGTCTTTCCATATCCCTATAAGGGACTCGAACAGCCATTTAATGAACAGTTCACGTCCAATTCGCCTCTCTATCTCTGTTGCTCCATCCGTATTGGTTCTGGAAATAGATGGAAATAGTATATAAATGCCAGGAGTCACCTGTCGGAGTGTGGCTCGTCCCATCCAGGGGCCGTGGATGTTCTGAGCATCCCGACTTCCTCCGGTATCCCGAGCTATGTGACTGGTGAATTCGTGCTTGACCGAACAACCAAAATGGGTAGACCGAGACCCACATGGAACCTGATGGCATCATCATCAGACTGGAAGACAGGCGATCTTTCCGAAGATCAACCGTGGATAGCACCGGGGAGGTCCTTCAGACCGCCGAACTCGCTCGCTCGCTCGAGCTCACGAGCTCACTCGCTCGCTGTTTTTCCATTTGGGGGCACGTCGCTTGATGGAAACCTCTGCAAAAGGCCCATCCTTTTTGGATCTTGTTGGTGAAACATGCCTGGATGATGGTAATTCCTATCCAAAGACTCAGACTGCAGTTACCATCAACACCAGGAAGATAGTTTGGCCTCTTTGACTGTTTTCCTTCGGACCAGTTCTGTCTTTGTTGAGGTATCAATCAACATCAATCAACGTGTTTCTTTCAAAATAAAACCCATGAGTCTTGCAAGGTAGCAAAATACGTCGGTCTCCATCCCCACCAAGCGTTCAGCTCCATCCAAGAACTCGTCCGGCGCCCCCCCCCGAAACGCGGAGTCGAGGCGCCGAATGTTGGCGATCGTCTGCTTGACGATACAGGTGTCGGACGCATGCGTTCCATCTGACCTTGGCCGAAAAGGATGGTTTATGATGTTTTGACACGGAAGAAGTCCCTGTGAGGGGGGGGAAGACCATGGAGTCCAAGTTGACGTCAAGTTGATGTTCCTCACAGCCGTCTAAAACACCCAAAGGCGTTTAAAAAAGGGCGATCCGATCGGAACTACTCCGGTTCGTTCACAAAAAGGCAGTTCTTCATGAAGTCCGCCCAAAGCAAAAAGAAAAAACGGACCCCCAGGAGGATGGAGGGCGGACCTCCAGCCTCCGCCACGACTCTTCCACCGGGCCTCCAGGCATCAGCACCTGACGGTACGGCGTGGGATGCAGGAAGTTCAAACCGCTGGTGGGATCTCGTGGGAATAGTCCGGTCAGGTAGCGAGAAAGATGAATCTGAGATAGAAAGATGTACAACTTTCATAGACTGGTTTAGAAAGGCTTAACCATGTGTCGATCTATTCAGAGGTCGCTCCATCACCAAGTGTTCGTCTGCTCCCTAACCGTAGTGTTCTTGCTAAAAGCCACCGCTCCAAATTCGCTCAGATGCCCATCCCTGATTCATCTCCAAATGCGCAGCTGTTCTGCGTAGATAACCCACGGCGGGGCGACAGCTTTAAGGCAGTCAGGAGAGGAGCTGGGCGCCCCGACCTCTTCGGCAGCCCAGTAGTAGCGCAGCTGTTTGCTCCAATCGAAGTCGTTCACCGACCTGCACGCTGAGTCAAATGGTTGATGTTCGGCGAAGCAGAAGCCCATCTGTGCTCAGCCACGTTTTGCAAGCGGGGAAGATCCTCAAGTATCCATCTGGATGCCTGAGAACGCTTATATATAGAACATCTTAGAACTGATCCTGAAATTAAGACCAGTTGGGATGAGACCAGTTTGGGGTCACCAATGGAACTGTACAAACCAACGAACAAACCTCGAAGCACCCTTCTATCTCATTCTATCTCCACATCTTACAGTGACATAGGACATGTTCACTTGAAAGGAAGAATCTCTCATCGTGGTTGAGACCAGTGCTCGAAACAAAACAGTGCCTTTCGGAGGAGAAAGGATGTTGCTTCCAGGACCAAGTTAAACCTGGTCCTTGACCTACTTTAGTACTGTTTTTGCATGACTGGACCCAGTAAAATGAGGTCCTTGACCTGTATACTGTAGGGAGATATATATATATATACTATATACAAGAAAAATGACATGCTGTTAGCAAAATTCGCTCGCAACTCGTTGCACGTCCCCCCGCGTGAACCTTTGTGAACCAAAAGAACCGGTTGTTGATTTGATGTCATTCACATTTAAGTGCTAAGTATGTACGATAATGTTGAAAATATATGAACATATCCACACCCAAGTTGCTTCATGTTGCTTCCACATCCACTTGCGCCAAGCCTGCACTTTGCTGCTTCGATCTGTTCCAAGACCGAGATGCCATGCACCTGGAGATTTGACCCGGACTGGGCACGTCTGAGAGATGTTCAACGCTATGACTGAGCTCCTGTCGCTGTCGGTTGCCCCAAGAAAGCATCTTTCAACCCAGCAAGGCTACCGTGGCCTCCAGATGGCCTCCACCCTAGTAGCGATGCCTCTCCCCATCCAGACCCCACGAACCCAATTCATTCACTCAGGGCTCGGACGTCCAGTACGATGAGAGCACCCATGAGGACCTCACAAGCTTCAAGCGCCAGAAAGCCACCGGAAAGAGAGGGGGTTCTTTAGGTTGTTCAGATGTTTTGTGAAGCAAGTCTTCTGGAAGAACAGTGGTTGAACATGACCTTTCTGAAAGAAAACATATCCGCCTTAATAAGATTCCGCCCTGGCGCCTTTGGCGCTCCCAGCTTGGTGATGTCCAAGCTAAAAAGATAAGGCTATAGCCCTACCACTCTGAACTCTGCCTCCTTCGCCACGAACACCACCCGCCAAACCCACCCGCTTAACGGCTGCAGCGTGTTTCACCCCCAAACGGCTGGAGGGTGGATCTCCGGAGCCACCCGATGTTTTCTCCAAGTGAGGGAATTCCAAGTTCCCAAGGCCTCAAGGCCTGGAGAGGTCCAAACCGAGACCTGGGGGCGTTCGGGAGGGTTTGGACGATGTTTTGACTCATCCACCATCTTCTTGGCCTCTAGAAGCTCCTCTTCAGAGCTCCTGGTGACTCTTGCCTTGTTCGTTTGTTCCTGAGCTGGGCCGCTGGGTGACCATCTGAAGAGGCCTGACGAAAAACTGGGGGATGCGACAACTCCGCCGGGCCAGTCGCGGCGCCACACCTGACCGTCGCCCGGTCGCTCCCGGGTCGCGGTCCGTCGCAGAACGTCTTCCTCCGCGCGAGCGGGGAGCAGTGGCCGAGCGGCCCGTTGCAGCTTGGATAAGTCCAAGCGGACCAACTCCACGCTGTGCCTGAGGACCGACCGGACATCATGGGACGAACGAACGTGGTTGCGGGTGGAACCGTGGGAAGGAACGGGTGACATGCTTTCTGGACGAAGACCACTGCAAGATCCAAAAAAAAATGAAGACCAGGACAAATGGACATACCAAGGGCATATCAGACATGCCAAACCCTCCGGAGTCCTAAATAGTGCCAGGATATGATCCACCTCAATCAATCACCTTCCAGCATAGGTGAGGCCAGGACAGGAGAAGTTGGCAACAATCAGCTTTCCATGCGAGTGGAACCTGGGGAGTCCATGGATTTGTAGCCACACCAAAATCATTGTGGCTTTCTATCGTGAAGTCTCACCACATCGAAAAGTATGTCCAAATTCTTTGAGGTTCCCATTTTGACACCATCCTGGCATGAAATCCCAATTCCCAGAGCCCTCAACTTCCCTCCTCCAAGAGGGAAAGACACCAGGAAGACCAGGAAGTTCATCACCAGGATCCTTTCCCGACCCCTTTGGGCCTCCCCATCTTCGGACCCATGACACCATCCCCTATTCTCCGTAGGGCTCCTGGCCTACCTCCTGAGAGGATGCTTGGGGTGGGTGCCAGGGGGGTCCAACCACCTTCTAAGGATATGGTTGGAGCGCCAGGGTATATATTCTCCTGGGTTCCCAACTCGAGCTGCTTGTTGGTGAAGGCGATGTTGCGCTTCATCGCCTCGCTTTTGCTTCGGCACCGATGGTGTTTTGGAGACGCGCCGCGGGTGCGCTCGATCGACCGCGAGGCGAAGGGTTTCTGCCACCGAGTCAGGAAAAACAAACGTGGAGGATCTCTTAAACCGATGGATCTATGATGTATTGAGTGTAATCATGTATGAGGTTTAAGATCTCTTAAACCAAAGATGTGTCTTAAACCGATGGAGTGTATTCAGAAACATCCAGCAGAGTCATTCCAGCAGCATGTTGGTGAGGGTCATCGAAACGACTCCGCTCGACGACAACGGTCCTTTGGTGTTCTTTCTTGTGCTGGGAGAGGCCCATCGAGGCCCATCCGACCAAGGCTGCCACAGAAGGCAGTCCATGCATTTTCGGATGGAGTGTCCTCCATGTCCTTGGCTCCCATATCAGCTAGACCTTCAAGTGAAACTTCCTCCGCACGACGCTTCGACCTGCCTCGACGTCTCCAGCTTCTACCTGGCAAAACGGACGCTGGAAGAAAGCGTGGATTGGGAGAAAGTGTCACTGACGCAACAGTTGGGCGAAGAAAGATCTTAATTGGTGGAAATGTTCGGCAGGGTGCGGGTGCTGATGGACGTTTCGTCTGCGTTTCGTCTGCGAATTCCCTGGAATTACTCAAGGTTGAACTGACTGGTTTTCCCAACGATTTCTTTTGGTGCAGGAAATGATCCAGTAACGGTCCCTTTGACACGAGCGGACTTACATGCGATTGTATGTGCTAGCTGCTATCTCATGTTTTATGTTATATATATGTTGTGTTATTGCATACTACTACCTATGGTGACTACCTGTGGTGCTAATTGTCATGGAAACAGAGACCGTGCTTAAAAGGGCTATATAGCAAAGAAATCGATGATGTTTGATGGTGGACATAGCTCACAACCCCACCGAACTCAAGAGAAAGGGAAGCAAAGACAGTTCATCTGTTCAGCATTTGTAGTGTGTCAAAGGAACCCCTCAAATTTCCAGAACATGTCACACACAAAAAAAAGAGCAGTGGATCTCCAGGCTGAACCAGGGACTCCCACCCGAAAACACCAAAAATCATTGATTCCCATCTGCAAAACGGTGGGTTGGGGCTCTCCATCTGCCAAACTCACTGGTTCAATGAAGCAATCCTCCCAAGTGCTGTGTGATTCCAAGTACACTTTGACGAACACATCACATGGAAGTGGAAAAATCTGCCCCTGAAAGACCATGTTCCGAATACCAAACAGGGTTTTCCACGTCCATGTTTTTTCTTCGGAGAGCAATTGATTGAAAAGTAAGCCCATTGCCTTCTTGGACTTCTTGAACACAAAAGATGCTCCCAAAAAAAGACTCACGTATCGCCTTGCACAAAAAGAAGAAGAACAACCAATACCTCCCCAATGCCTCCTACCCGCGCGCCCTCCAGAAACAAAACGCCAACCATGTCCGGGCGCATCCTCCGGGACGTTCGAAACCAAACACAAAGGGCGCCTGATTGAGCGCATCCTCCGCGCACTTGGTCCACATGATTTGGTCCACCGCCAACGCCTCGATGGCCAATTCGACCCGACGCCCGACGTGGGGCGTTTGAGAAGCATTGACCAATGAAACCGGTCAGAGGAAAGACTGATTCTCTTTGAGTCATGGAGTCATAAGGTCAGAAACCGAGAATGGGATTTTGGACGTTGACATCTTTGTAGAGACTGGACTTTTAGGACCCTGTACACTGTAGCCACATGTCACACTGTAGCTACACCTTTTTTACACGTTTTTGAGAATTGCTGAATAAAGACTCTTCTCTCCTTTCCATCCTTTTCTCACCTTCTTCCCCAAAGAAATTCTCCACCAACTCTCCACCTGACTGCATCCCAGCAAACTCCCACTCGGCCGCCCAGCTGACTGCGCTGGGTACGGTCCAAAGAGCCAATCCTTGCGGATGATGCCATCCTGCCGGAGGCACTGCTGGCGTGCACCGTCGAGTCGTTGTGGTGTAGTCGTGTGAATATGCCAATGCGCGCGCGTGCGGTTGGTCGTGAGGGTTGACGTAGGGCTTGGGAACGAGTGTAGTGGGACAAATGCTGTTTGACCACCCAGTCTGAAGATGTCTCGAGATAGACAAAAGGCCTGCAGCAAAGTGGAAACACCTGAAACACACTGCTCTCCAGAATAGTTGTACATCTCCAGGCCAAATAAACATGGATTCATCAACACTCTACAGGAGGTGCTTTTTTTTCGGAGAGAAAAATCGCGATCCTCCTCCTTGGATGGAAAAAAAAACTGCATGAAAATGGTGAAGGTGTTCATGCTTTGGCATGCCAAAGGCTTGCACAGCAGAACCGGAGTTCTTCGTTCCAGTCTCTCTAGTCTCGCTGGAAGCACCTCCGGATAGGTCTCCAGAGCTGCCTGTGCCAGATGGATGAGACGGATTTTTGCACCCCAAATGCCCCATCGGATGAAGCCCCATCCCAGGCCCACGAATGCCATGGTGAATCCTGGGATGGGATAGATCTCCCAACAAGCAACAGTTGTCATTAATCACTGGCTCACAAGCGCCATTGCCAATATATATATATATATATTAATCTGTTTATTTGAGTCTATCTATCCTATTACCAGGGGCCAGTGGATGATGATGATGATGATGATGATGATGATGATGATGATGATGATGA